ATGGAGAACGTGCTGTGACTGATCAAATGTGTCAAAAGTGGTTTGTGAAGTTTCTTGGTACTATTGACACTTTGGCCAAGTGATTCTTTGCTGTGGGGCTGTCTTATGCATTTGGAAATGTTTAGCAGCACCCCTGGCCTCTATCCACTAGAAGCCAATAGTAGGAGATAGCTGACATAATTCAAAATATCCAAATCAATGAAGTCATTCATGAAAATGAAAAGTGTGTCTTTTATTTTACAGAAAAAATCTCAATGGACTTTTTGGCCAACCCAATAGTTCTAAAAGGCCTTCAGATATTGTCAAGAAACTGGTATGTGCAGTTTGAGATTATGAGGAAGATGTGGAAGAGGGCATTTTTCTACCTACACCTCCCTTTCTCATGTTTAGACAAAAATAACACTTCTTTCTCCCCTTTTCTCATCTGGCATTCTCATTACACTCTCTTCTGAAAGACTGTGTTTGATTTACTGCATCCCACTGCAAAGCTTGCTGAACTCTATGCCTGACACTGCGCTGAACAAGCGTGTCTTCACTTTGCCACCAGGCAGGCTGTGAGTTCATCCCCTTGCCTGACCTACAGAGAACTACCAGAGGGATGATATCACTGCAGATTTTTTTTCCATAGCATTATTTTTGACATCAATGTCTAAGACTACTCTGGATAAATTCTCCTCTGGCTGGAGCTTTTTGTAAAGAGGATTTGGCAGAGTCAGACTTTTCTTCCCTCTTTCCTTATCACGTAGATTCTGAAATAGACAAACAACTGAGTCACAGCCAATTCTGCGGGCAAGATACTCCAAAAATACTCCAGCTCTTGGTTAAGTGTGTCCTGCATTAGTTCAATTTTCTACCATATCCTGGATGTCCTCTCCTCTTCCCTTTTTTTATTCCTAGGGTTTGGGTGGGGGGAATATTGTAAATACACTTCTCTGACTTGGGCATCGTTCCTTTGTTTTCTTGACTTACAACTGACTCCCTATACCCAAGTGGAGAAATATTTCTCCAGAACACTCTCCTTTCTATTTCTCACAAATGTTCGTTATAGTATATATGTGAGTCTTCTTTAAAAAGCCTTGGCAATCATTTAACCTACAGCTAGCTTCACAGCCCTCAATTTGTTGTACTCTGTGGAGATTCTGGCAATTATTTTAGAGTCTCGGTCTTGTCCAATGTGATAAATTATCTGTAGTTAACATTGACCCAGCCTCTTGTAAGGAAAACACCAAGCCCTTCCAGGGGTTGTATTCCACTCTTTGACTAGTTTGGAAAAGTCCTCAGATGGACATATACAGTTCTTGGCCTGCTTTGGTCCTGCCCAGATGGACAGTGTTGCAATTACCCACACTTCCCAGCGGCTGTTTCTTCATTTCTGAAAGCTGGTCTTGATTGTCTCAGAAGCAGAATTCAATTTGCAGTTCCCCCAGTAACGTGCTGTGATTCATTCGGGGACAAATCTGGATTGAACTGAGTCCAAGTGTCTCTTTTGTGAGACAGAAGGGAAGTATAAGTAGATACTATAGTCACCCAGATGAATCAGCCAGGAATTCATGAAGTGATTCATAAATCGTTATAAAGACCACTGAAGTCTACTAAAACAGAGTGCTGTCTGGCTACACAAAGTGGGGTATTATTATGGGGGGGGGGGTTAGATGTTAAATCAGATGTGAAATCCTTAAAACTGCTTTTCTTTTTAGGTTTTGAAAAGGATTCCTTTTTTCCCCTCTGCAGTTGGCCAACTGCTAAAGCCATTTTTCATTGATTAGTTTTTGCAGATGAATTTTAAAACCACCACAGAAGATACCCCACAATCCTTTGGGGGAATAAAAAATACCTCCCCAAATCCACCATAGACCAGTTTGTATCCATTATTTCTCCTCCCTGGCAGCAAATCAATAATATTTTTCACACGAATACAATGAAACAAGCTGTGCTGATGTATTCTCTCTTCTTTGGGAGGTCCATAACCCCCACAGAAGGAGGGTGGGGGAGAACTATCCAAAGCCCATATCAACCAACATTTAATCTAGTGGATCATGTAAACACCGTTTTTTCCAAAGTGTTAGCCCTCAAAGCGGCACTAAAACACACAGTCCCACATGACTTGCCAGAACTGCTTACTTAGGACTGCACAAATGAAGTAAGACATTTATGACATGCGCTTGACTTATAACACAGTTTTTGAGTAAATTTCATTTGAAGAAGTACAGTCATTAGTAGACACAGAAAATACTTTGGACTTACAGAGGAAAGAGTGCTACCTGAAAGGAGTTACCTAGTTGGAAAGCTAAGGGCATAAGCCCAGCTTGGACATGAAGAACCCCAGTTCTGAACTGAGCAAATTCACCAAAGCAAACTGAGAAAACTATCTCCATGGTCAGGTTTCTTGAAGGCAGTAGGTTGCTGATACATCCCCATCAGCTGTTGATAAGGATCAAAATCTCAAATGCCTACAGGAGTCCCCTTCCATCCTTCCTCACCCCACCCATCTGCCTTGCTTCGAATCTCCACTAGAGGGCATCCTACCATATTGCAATATAGTGCTATCTGGAGAACTAGTGTGGGGCTGGGGAAATCTTTTCATGTCTCTGGACCTGTTTTATCTCATTCAAATAGGTGGTGCTCTAGTGCCCTTCAGCTAGAACATTCTATGATTGTATGAATTTGTGAACTCATGGTGCTCCATGGGAAAACCTGGTACCAAGAAATGAGACTCACATAACATGACTAACTGTTCCTAGAACCGGAAAATTAGCCAGATGAGTAAATGTCTCACTTTCTTTGACCCCTAATCTCCATATCTGAATAGTTGAAGGAGAAGAGAGTCCTAAGATTGTACATTTTAATAATCCCATATTCAAATATACTGCTTCAACCACAATTGTATATGGCTGTCAAGCACAGGGTACATGTTAATGTCAGGGATACCTTAAATTTATATTCTATTGAGAACAGCCATTCCATAACCATGCATCAATCATCTGTAGGTGTCAGACACTCATTGTCTAAAGTATTTTGATATCTCTGACTTCCACATTTAAATTGGTTCATAATCCATCTCCATTCCTCACCTTCCATTCTTTATTTTTCTTCATAGTACTCATTTCCTCCAGCCCAGTACATAGTTTACTAACAAGTGTGTTCATTGCCTCCCCCGGTCCCCCTGACTAAAACAGAAGTTTTACAAAGACAAGGATATGTGGCATGTATTGCTTTGTTCCTGGTGCTTAAAACTGCCACACACTTGGTTGGAGCTCAATAAATATCTCTTGAATGAACAGATAAAAATGTTGCCTCAAATTGTACAGTCCCCAGTCAGAGTCAAGATTATCTTTATGTTATACTTGAAATTGAGGCTGTGAGAAATCAGGTAATTTACTTGAGATTACCCAGCTAGCAAGGGGCAGAGCCACAATTCTAGCCCAGGACTTCGGGTACATCTGACATCCATCTGTTCCTCCTGCCATTTGCAGTTTCTGCATCTGATCCTCCTCGGTTCTGTGTGTGTCTCGATTGGGGCCTCTTGTGCTAGGGAACAGAATCCAAGATTGAGTACTACTTTTGCAGGCAAGATGACCCCTGTGTTTCTGGCCCACCTCCCTGCAAGGTTGGGAAGCTTAGTTGTACAGAGGGCGGTAGCAGGCCTCCATTACCAAGTAAATACCCCCAAGCATCAGACATTTTTTAAGGTGTATAGAGATAGATAAATATTTGCAGAAACTTTTTTCAGTTTTTTTTCCAGAAAATCCTTTATGAGCCCTTTAAAGTCTGTGTGGGGGTTTTTTGTTTGTTTGTTTGGTTTTTTGTTTTTGGCAAGCCAGGGAACCATGGCTCATGCTAAGGTTATATAAACTCCTCCACTAAATGAGTGGAAATGGTTGACTCAATTCTGTGATTTGCTTTTGTGTTATCTGTAAGCAGTGATTTTAAAAAAATTCTAGTGTGTTGTGTGCCTATTTGCACAACAGTCGTCCATTGTTTTATAAAAGTAGAAAAGGCCAGAGGAGAGACTGGTAAGCTGTGTTCAGTGAAACCTGTGAAATGTCAACTGGGGGACAGACTTGGACCTGGAAAAATTTCTGACGGTCTCTCCTCTGGCTCTTGGACACTGCTGTAATTCAGAGTGAATTAGAATGATGTCATCTCGTCCTGATGTAACGGGGGAATAAGATATTCTGTAGGAGAAAAATTGTAAATCCCTGCAATTTATATTTAGCATCAAAAGTGTTAGTTTTCTTTTGCATCAGATTTAAAAAATTTACCCTCTTTGAATTAAAAACCTTCTGTTTTGGGCTGAATATTCTGACCATATATTATTTGGCAGGGCGTATATTTTAAAAAAACAAGGTTGAAAAATAAAAAGAGTTGAGGACACTAAGAAAAGGGATTCATTCTACCTTCAGTAACAATGAGAATGTTTTATGTTTTTCTCAGCTTCTGTTTAAGTGTGCATGTTTTTTGTTTGCTTGCTTCTGGAGTCAATGGCCTCTAACTACTCAAGTTTCTAGAGTCCTTTTGGCTTTTGAAATAACGGTTCTGGCATCTCTCTTGCTAGGAGTTGTCAGCGATTGTTTTGGATGCTCCCAGGGCCTTCACTCTAGCAGCAGAGTCTCTTCCACCCCCTTTGCCCCTCTGCCCCTCTGCTGCCCCGGCACCCCTAATTCTAATGGGTTATTTCTACTTCACTATGAGCTGATTAGCAAGTAACCAAGTTTATAAAAATTAAATTAATTAATAGAGGGATTGTTAAAGAGTTTTTGGTAAAATACTTTTTAGGCAGTAACAAAATTGATTCTAAGTGCTGTACTTGAAAATCAAATCACATTTATACACTCATTTCTTATGCTGGACTTTTTAGTACTGAATTCTCATTTATTTCCTTGTTTCTAGAAATTATCTGGATAATCAAGATCACATCTTATCTCTTTTTATCTTTTCTCTATACATGTGAAAGTTAACATTTTTATACCAGTCCTTCTCTTTTCAAATCGTTTTCTCAGGTTTGCACCTTCTGCTCCATCTCCTCACCACATCAGTCCTCGGAGAGTTTCAGCTCCTTCTTCAATAATGCAGAGAACGCAGCCTCCCCATGCCCAGCAGCCCTCAGGATCACACCTGAAGTCCTATCAGCCAGAAACAAGCTCTTCTTTTCAACCAAATGGAATCCACGTCCATGGTAAGTGAGGAGCCATCAGTCCCTTGAGTTTTGAAAAGTGATATTGCACTGTTGTTTTTTAAGCAATTGTCTTAGTTACCAGTTGTGGATTCCAAATGTTCTCTTATACACCAAGTTTTGGCTTTTATGACTTCCCCCTAAAATTTTACACTTAATCAGCGTTAAGTCTTACAATATTTCTGTGGCTTTGGCCCTAAGATGGTATGTCTTATAACACTCCAAAGTGGTCAGCCCAAGGTGAGGGTCCATTTATTGAACACCTCAGAGCTTTTACACCTCATGGACAGGCCTTAACAACAACATCTTGTTTTCTAAACAATAAACAGTCATGTAAAAGAACCGGCAGCAGTCCTTTTGCCTGTGCACAGGTCTTGGTCCCTATCCCCATATGCCTAGGCCCTCTCCATCCTACAGATGGAATGACACCTGCTCTCTGAATCCTTTCCTGATCTCGTAGCCAACTTAATCTCTCCTGATCCTGAACCCTGATTACATATCATATGTGATCGATGCAATGAAGGAAGAAGAGGAGGGAAGGAAGGCAAGAGAAATCATGGTGGTTTTCAAAACGTGTAGGCCTTATGTTTAACTCAGAACATACATGGAAAACTGAGTCTGGCCTAATTTCTTCTCGTTATTTAAACCCATTTTGCTGATTCAGACAGATATCTTAGTGAACATCATAGAAAATTGAATTGCCAAATCATATAGACTCAAACTATACACAGCTTTTTAATTTCTAGGGGCATTCAGATCTTCTTATATAAGCAGAAGAGATACTGCCCATTTAGACTGTTTCAGCTTCTTCTGAAAAATATGATTCTTCTCTACCTGCATCTTGCTGATTCCTGAATTTGCTTCACATGAGTCATTATTTGAAATTAATGGGTGGTTGTCCCTAAACAAACCTAAATCAATGTTCCAGTTGAGTGTGATTAAATATAAATGATCTCCCAAGATAGCAGAATCCAGCAGCACCAGGGAGCTAGGCTCAGGCAAGAACACCAATGTGCGGGCCTGGACAGCTGAAGATGAGGCAATGAGGAGACAGGGGCAGGCTGCAGGAAGGGAATGGCCTTGAAAAGCCCAGGGTCTATTTCTCTGGTTCAATGTTCCATCCATCTCTTCCCTTCTCTACCCAAGTATAGTCACACAAATCCACTATTCACCAACAAAACTTGGGCTTCCACCATTCTTTAGGTCAGTGGTAATTTTTACCTTCTTCTCTTGGTAAACTTCTTCTGCTTTAGTTATGTATTTATTCAACCAAGAAATATTTTTGGGGTGTCTACTATATGCAAAGCAATATGTGTGTGAGAAAGACAAACAGAGCACTCTCCCTTTTGAGGGGGCACTCCCAACCCAGATGAGGAGCCTGTCTCACATGGGGGGAAGATCCAGGTACCCTGTGTTGGAAGCCACCCTCACCTGCAGGCTGGAGGTGGACTGTATGAGTGTGGGCTTTGTGGACTACAGAACAGGTCATGTATCCTAAGGCATGCGATTTTTACCCTTGCTGTAACATCACTGAAATAGGAACATATCTCAGTCAGTGGCATCATCTAATAGGCAATGATTTTTCTTTCTCGTGCCTTCTGGAATAATGGAGCCTTTCATAATCAGTGGTGTGGTGGTTCCCGTGACATGCAATATATCGCGCTTGGCCTGCCACTGTGAAACATTTTAAAAATTCAGAATTTAACCTTTGTGTAGAAAAAAATTGGAAGGAAATTCTTCAAAGCATTAAACAGTTCTTTTCATTATAGAGGTAGTATAATAGGTGATTTTTCTTTCTTCTTTTCTCTTTTTATTTTTAATTTATTTTTTGCTTTCTAAAGAAACTTTAAAAGGGATTTCGGAATTACATCAGTTTGAATGCAAATACCTGTGTACTCAACTGTGTGGCTCTAGACAAACTGTGGAGTCTCAGTCTACATTCATTAGATGAGGAGAGTCTTACCTACAAGACAGGCACCTGGTACAGAGTAAGAGCTTAATTAATTTAATGTTCTCCCTTCTAATCTCTTCTTTGGTGGACTCCTTGAGGATAGGTATAATGTTTGTAGCCCTGGGGCAAGCATAGTACTTGGTGCAAAGTAGGCCTGTGGTAAATATTTACCAAATAAGTGATTGGTTCAAATGAATAATGAAACAAGGGGACACAAAATGGGATGCACCTTGCAGACTCTCCTTTTCTTGTCATACAGCTTGGCAACAGACTTCTCCCACATTTCTCTTTTTTAGTAGTCAACCTGAATTATTTTTAACTTTTTCATTGTTGAAAATTCCTGTGGCCAATGAGAAACTATTCACAGAAACCTTAAAAATAAATACATACAAGAAGCCTTTCTAGAAGACATCGGACTGCAGTTATGTGTACCTGGAGATCATGACATCCTCCCAGAAGATGAGAGAATGGCTGAGTTTGCACAGGGAGTGCCCATGCATTAGCTGCTGGGCCATTGCTGGGAATTAAGGGGAGGATTCAGATGCAGCCTTACTTCCTCCTTCAAGTATTTTTCTGAAAAATTTTTTTCTGGAAGTTTCTAGGAATAAGCACTTCTCATCTACTACTCTTTAGGATAAAGACCAAATTGATAGAGTATTTCTCAAGTGGGTGAATCAGTACTAGGAATGAGAGGAACAGAGAGACCTCTAAATGAGTTGCATATATCGGCCATGCCTTTCAGCTTTGGTTGGATTAGTGTGCTGGGTAGCATTATACAGCCTCTTAGTAGTGAGGAACTTCATCCCCTAATAAAAGTAGATGTTTAATGCTCCAAGCAGTGTCAGAGTTGCTAACAGGATAGCTACAGTGAATGTCTGTTCTCTCTTTCAAGAAGTTCATGGCTTTAATGGGCATCATCACCCCCATCCTCTGTGTACTCCCTGCAGTAGGTACAGGTCAGAGAAAAATGTCATCACTGTGTTTTTAGAGATGGGAACTGATACTTGGAAAAATATAAAATGTCTAGGCATTGCTGGCCTGGCCAAATATGAACTGGCAAAGATGCCCTGGCATCTTTAATAAGAAGTCCACGTTTCCAAGTCATATTCTTGATCTACGTGTTTCTAAGTAGGTCAAAGAAACAAAATCCATACGGACTTATTATATCTCTTCATGGTGGCATATGCCTGTATGTGGATGTTTTTGTATTACACAGAGCCTGGGAAGGTTAGAACTCAGAAGGGCTTTGTTCCTACAGATAAAGAAGAAAATGAGATCCACTGAGTTTTCTTTACATTAGACTAATTGACACAGAGCTTAGATGTCATGTGTTCGATGTATATTTTTAGTCAGAGGTGTTTTATAAAAGGCATACTTTGAAAAGATTAGTAGCACAGCTTTTTCAAGTTCCCTCACCTAGTGAATGACCCAGGACCAGAGCACATTTTTGTTGGTTCTGCGTCCACGTTATCCATTCACATTGCTTTCTTTAGTAAGGTGGATAAGGTGTCATTTCTTTCAGTGTTTGAATGTTGATAGCATCTATGGGTCTCTGTTTGGGTGGTATCTCCAAGGCAACTTCTCGGTGCATTTTAGTCTTTTATTTTAGATGTAAACACTAGGACAACTCTTTCCAATCATTTAAGCTTGTTCTTCAGCCTTTTCTTTCTCTTCAGGACTGTTCTCTTGCCCAGGCAAGCTTCAGAATTTTGCCTGGATTAGTTGCCTGAGAGTTGATATTTGTGCATATTGTTATGGTGCTAATGGATAATTTCTTTTTAAATGGCCTATTCACTCCAGGCTGTGAGAATGCCATGGGAATTCCTAGAACAGCACTTTCACAATCTTCCTTTTCTGGACTCCTCAAGGAGAGGCCAAGTTCAATTCAGCAAGTGTGTATTGGTCACCCACCATGTGCCAGGCAAACACGAATGTCATTTAATCAGTGCTCTGTGATACATGCAATAACAGAAGGTATAAAAGGCACTGATTTATTTGAGGGAGATATTAGAGAAAGAGTCCCAGAGGTGACTCTTGAATAGGGTTCTGAAGATATAGTCAATTGTGTAGGCCAGGTGGGGAGAGGGATTCCAGGCGGGGTAAGCAAAGTGTGCAAGCAAGAACACAAATGACAGCATTGTGCTTGCCTCGAGAGAAGAGCCAGGGGCAGTGTGGCTGGAATGCACAGGTTAACCTGTGGAGCAAAGGGAAAGGAGGCTAGGGAACCAGCCAGGCCAGCTCATGGAGCGATCTGGGGCCATGCTAAATGTAATGCTGCTGAGTGAAGAAGCCAGCCTGGTGTTTTAGGTCAGTCAGCGAGGGCAGTGTATAGGAAACAGAATGGGAGAGGTAGGAACATTACATCCTAACTTTTGGGTTTTATTGGACTGCATGTATAGAGCACCCATACAACAGTTCAGCTCACACAGATGCAACTAGTAAATAGGCGTATGATGTCATAATAAGTAGAGTTGTATTTGTTCACACACAGTCTTTCCTTGCAAGACAAGCTGCAATAGCTAGAGAAGAAGAAAATGTAAAAGCCCTCAGCCTAGCCACTGCATGGGCAGGAGCCCTTTCAGCTATCTTTTAATAAAATTTGAAGAGCGTGACCCCAGGGACTTCCTCCCCAGGCGGCTGCACACCTGGCCTTGTAGGGCCCTCAGCCAATGGCAGATCACAGTCCTTCCTATGTGCTGGTCTCTCACCTGTGGTCTCAGTTACTGCAAGTCAAAACTTCCAATAGACATTTACGAGCATGTTTAATAATCACCGAGGAGGTTCTAGCCACATAGAACGGGCTGCCTAAGTTCCCTCTTGATTATTTGTCACTGTCGTAGTTAGAAGATTTCATAGATTTTGAGTGATCTGACCCAATCCCAGTTTTCGAAAGAGCCTGTTATTTGTAACACACATTTGTACAGAGCACGAGACTTTTCAGGATTTGTTTATCGTGTTATAGCAGCATGCCCAGCGAATGGCTTTTCTCTTCTCACATAACAAGACATCAAACAATAAACATTGCAGGGAGGAAGAGCAGCCCACAGAGCCA